GATATTACCAAAAGTTCTCTATAGGTTTAATGCAATGCCAATCAAAATCCCAACGGCATTTCTTGTAGAAATAGAGAAAGCAATCATGAAATTCATATGGAAAAATAAACGACCCAGAATAGCAAAAACAATGCTAAGCAGGAAGTGTGAATCAGGCGGTATAGCGATACCAGACTTCAAACTATACTACAGAGCAATAGTAACAAAACCAGCATGGTACTGGTACCAAAACAGGCGGGTGGACCAATGGTACAGAATAGAGGACACAGAAACCAATCCACAAAACTACAACTATCTTATATTTGATAAAGGGGCTAAAAGCATGCAATGGAGGAAGGATAGCGTCTTCAACAAATGGTGCTGGGAAAACTGGAAATCCATATGCAACAAAATGAAACTGAATCCATTTCTCTCGCCATGCACAAAAGTGAATTCAAAATGGATCAAGGAGCTTGATATCAAATCAGAGACACGCCTTCTGATAGAAGAAAAAGTTGGCTACGATCTACATTCGGTGGGGTTGGGCTCCAAATTCCTCAATAGGAAACCCATAGCACAAAAGTTAATAACTAGAATCAACAAATGGGACTTACTCAAACTAAAAAGTTTTTTCTCAGCAAAAGAAACAATAAGAGAGGTAAATAGGGAGCCTACACCCTGGGAACAAATCTTACTCCTCACACTTCAGATAGAGCCCTAATATCCAGAATATACAAAGAACTCAAAAAATTAGAAAATAAGAGAACAAACAACCCAATCAACAAATGGGCCAAGGACCTGAACAGACACTTCTCAGAGGAGGACATACAGTCAATCAACAAGTACATGAAAAAATGCTCACCATCTCTAGCAGTAAGAGAAATGCAAATCAAAACCACCCTAAGATACCATCTCACTCCAATAAGATTGGCAGCCATTATGAAGTCAAACAACAACAAGTGCTGGCGAGGATGTGGGGAAAAGGGTACACTTGTACATTGCTGATGGGACTGCAAATTGGTGCAGCCAATTTGGAAAGCAGTATGGAGATTTCTTGGAAAGCTGGGAATGGAGCCACCATTTGACCCAGCTATTCCCCTTCTCGGTCTATTCCCTAAAGACCTAAAAAGAGCATGCTACAGGGACACTGCTACATCGATGTTCATAGCAGCACAATTCACAATAGCAAGACTGTGGAACCAACCTAGATGCCCTTCAATAGAAGAATGGATTAAAAAAATGTGGCATTTATACACAATGGAGTATTACTCTGCATTAAAAAATGACAAAATCATAGAATTTGCAGGGAAATGGATGGCATTAGAGCAGATTATGCTAAGTGAAGCTAGCCAATCCCTAAAAAACAAATGCCAAATATCTTCTTTGATATAAGGAGAGTAACTAAGAACAGAGTAGGGACGAAGAGCATGAGAAGAAGATTAACATTAAACAGGGATGAGTGGTGCAAGGGAAAGGGAGAGAGAAGGGAAATTGCATGGTAATGGAAGGAGACCCTCAGGGTTATACAAAAGTACATACAAGAGGAAGTGAGGGGAAAGGGAAAAATAATACAAGGGGGAGAAATGAATGACAGTAGAGGGGGTAGAGAGAGAAGAGGGGAGGGGAGGGGAGGGGAGGGGAGGGGGGATAGTAGAGGATAGGAAAGGCAGCAGAACACAACAGACACTAGTATGGCAATATGTAAATCAATGGATGTGTAACTGATGTAATTCTGCAATCTGTATATGGGGTAAAAATGGGAGTTCTTAACCCACTTGAATCAAAGTGTGAAATATGATATATCAAGAAATTTGTAATGTTTTGAACAACCAACAATAAAAAATTAAAAAAAAAATAAGCAATGGACTTGGAACTAATAACATAGGGGTTTATTTAAATTGCCTTTAATGAAGTAACTTGTAGAACAAGTAACTTGTAATCAAGTAACTTGTAGAACAAGAACAGGTATGCTAACTCTGAATAAATGTATAAAAACAAGGGAGTAAAAAAAAAACAAGGGAGTCATCTAAGAAATATATCAAGAAAGAAAGATCAATGGCCCTAACTCCTGACAGGGTCTTCTTATGTCATTTTAAAGTTAGGATCTACGACCATAGCTTTCTTAGTATATCATAGAAGGAAATTTTCTTTAGTTACACAGGTGCATTAAACTTAAGTCTGTGTTGTCATTGAACCCAGTACCAGCATTAACGAAGAATTGACCTGTAGATGAAGTCTTCTTGAATAGGATGGTCACCAAGATAATTCAGGGGAAGATCATATAGGGTCAAAAACTGCCCCCCCACCAAATGTGAAGGTGTTTAACACCTGATTGGTGAAGACTGCAGAAGGTGTACCACTGTTTTTATTTTATTTTACTTATATCTGACAGCGGAATGCATTACAAGTCTTATTACACATATAGAGCACAATTTTTCATATCTTTGGTTGCTACCTGTCATTATCATCCATTATGACCATCTCGAGTCAAAGAGGCCAGGATCTCTGCATGTAGTTATAGCCTCACTTTCTGCAGAGAAAAGATATAGGTTGTGGCTAATGTTCCCATGACCAAGTGCACCAGGTTTGTCTATTTATAATTTGCCACTCATTTCTCTGCCCTTGATTTTCTTCTTGATGACACTCATCTCTCATCAAAGCCATCTATAGGACCTATCTGTAGGCAGAACATATATTATATCAGGATTTAGAAGCTGATTCTCTGAGTCCTACTTCTCTTGAACTTTTCACAATTTTTGGATTGTTTTGTTTTGTCTTGTGTATTTTTCAGTGGTCATGGAAAATTGGTATTTTTAAACAAGATTTTTAAAATATGTTTATTTTTATTTACTTATATGTGGTGCTGAGGATCGAACCCAGGGCCGCCCACGTGCTAGGCAAGCACTCTACTGCTGAGCCACAACCCCAGCCTGGATAATTGATTTTTAAACAAATCTTAATAACTTTCTTCCATTCAACTAAAGGGAAAAATATATCTGGCCACATGAGGACCCAGAAGATGGGGAAATGCTGGAGCCACAAATGATGTAAGGATGGGAGAGGAGTAATGGACAGCACAAGACACCCTGGAGAATGTCTAGGACAAAGCCACTGGCCTGGGGAAAAGGATAGAGAGGGAAAGTCAGGACGAGACTAGGGACAGAAAAATTTGAGGATTCTATACTGTTTGGCTAAGATATTTCTCAACAAGGGTTGTATCTCTGATGCTTTCCTGGCATGATCACTCCAGCCAGGAATTACTTGCCTCCCTGATTCCCACACCTACACATTTGGGAATAAGAGTCTTTGGCAAATTCAATTTACTAGGCCTCAATCTAGTGCCATAATTAGATTTTGAGTTCTTCAGTAAATTTTAATGTCTATATTTAAGTGGTTATTGTAGTGGAATAGGGCTACCCATCATTCTCACTGCCATAAGAGAAGCTATGATCTATTCATTCAACAAATGTTTCACACAGCACAAGGTTATTGACTGCAGTCCTCAGTGTTCCCATTAGATCTTTCCTTCTAGTTCATCCCTATTTGCAACTTTGTACCTTTTGACCTATGCCTCCACATTTCCACCCCCTACCTTGATCCTGATAATCATGATTTTATTTTCAATATCTGTATTTTTACTTTTTAATAAAAGATTCTACATATAAGTGAGATCGTGCAGTGTCCTTTTTTTCTGTTTCTGGATTATTTCACTTAGCATATGTCCTCCAAGTCCATTCATGTTTTAGCAAATGGCAGGATCTCCATTCTTAAGACTGAAAATACACACACACATAAACAGACACCACTTTCTTTATCTGTTCATCTTTCTATTCAGCTTTAACTGTACCTTCTCTCTCTCTCTAAGCTCCTCCAGACCTTGCAAATATTCACCATTCCCAGAATCCCTAAAATCAATCAGCTTTATCTCTTGGGAGCTCAGGGCAATCTCCAGAGTCAATGTCAAACATAATAGTAATGGTGCCTTTATGTTTCAGGGGAGAATCAATTCTGGGCACCCTGGGGGCCTTTGCTTTGATTATTTAATGGACCACAACTTGGATCCTGGGGGCAGGAAAGTAAAGAGATGAGTTTGCTCTCCATAACCAACATAATGTTTGCTAAAACACACATGCACACATATGTACATGCTCACCCAAGCACATTTTCAACAGATGTCTTGGACAAGCTGCCCACTCTCTCACTACCTCACTTTCAGGTAAGTAGTTCCAGGTAAGGGTAGACTTCAAGTTCACATTCCCATTGCCTGCTCCTTGAGCTCAACTGTTGAGTACCTCATTCTTCATCACCACTACAAAATCTTCATCAAAAATAACCCCACTACCTCTGATCTTATATTTACTAAAAATGTGTATTTTTAAATGTTTGAATACAGGATTCAACATAACTTTGAAGTTACATTAATTTTAAAAATTTGTTGCTAAGTTTCATCTTTTATTTCCTGAAAGGGGGAATTTTGTTGATTATGTTTCATGTTTCTGTTCATATTTTTGCATATATTAACCTCTATTTCTTGGTAGAAATAGATTAAATTCTTCATTTATTCACATACATTTAATAACCAAATTTTATTAACATATAATTAATCAGTCTAGCCTTAATAAAACATTTATCATAAAACATTCTCTTAGATACTGATGCTGTTGTACTACATTATTATTGCTGTAATATTATAGTATAGTCTTATACTACATGACATATACTGTCAAAATTTCAGAACCATTTTTGTGTATCTTAACATTCTAATCCTTGTTTTCCACTTTGAAGCTCTTGATTTTGTAATACTGAAGTTCACGTAGTGTCTTTATTGCTCCCCTCAGGTACTTCATCAGGGTGCCGCCATGACTACTTGCAATGTCACAGGCCACCCTTCTTTCTTCATTCTCCAAGGCATTCCTGGGATGGAAGACAAACACAAATGGATATCTATTCCCTTCTCCTCCATGTACTTCATCACTGTGCTCGGAAACTGCACCATCCTCTTCACCATTTCCACAGAGCGCTCCCTGCATAAGCCCATGTTCCTACTCCTGTGCTTATTGGCCCTCACAGACCTGGGCATGTCGACAACCACCATTCCTAAGGTACTGTGCATCTTCTGGTTTGGCCAGAGTGAGATCAGCTATGAAGGCTGCCTGGTCCAACTGTTCTTCATCCACTCCATCTCTGCCATGCAGTCAGCCATCCTGATGACCATGGCTTTTGACCGCTATGTGGCCATCTGCAAGCCCCTGCACTATGCCACCATCCTTTCCAATAATCGCATTGGGGTCATTGGCCTAGTGAGTTTGGTGAGAGCCATCCTCTTCATTCTCCCCATGCCCATCCTCCTCCAGCATATGCCCTTTCATGCCAACCGTGTCATCCCCACCACCTATTGTGAGCACATGGCTGTGGTAAAGATGGTATGTGTGGACACCACAGTCAACCGGATATATGGTTTGGTGGTGGCCCTGCTGGTTGCTGGATTAGACATCTCTGCGATAGCCTCATCTTATGTGCTAATCATCCAAGCTATACTGCGCCTCTCTTCTAAGGAAGCCCACCACAAAGCAGTCAACACCTGCACCACACATATCTGTGTCATGCTTATTTCTTACACGCCTTCGCTCTTCTCTTTTCTTACACACCGCTTTGGCAGAGGTATTCCACCCCACGTCCACACCATTCTTGGCAATCTTTACTTCCTTGTACCTCCGATGCTCAACCCAATTATTTATGGAGTAAAAACCAAGGAATTTCGGGATAAAGTAACTAAATACAGTTGTTGGAGGAAGGAGCCTATAACAATTGCCCCCAGGCAGAAACTTATTTGATAATCCAGCAGTTGTGGGTTCATAGAAAAAAAAATGTTAAATGAATGCCGTGTAGGGGGGAATTGACTAGAGAGAGAAACATGTTATGCCAGTAGTTTAGCTGATGGGATGTTTATATTTGGACAGAGAGCTAAGGGGCAAGACAATTTCTTGGGCTCAGTAACTCCAAAGCAAGGCAATTAAGCCCTGTGAAATAAAATAATGACACCTGCTTTCTATACCTGATAATCCTTGAGCAAGTTATACCTGATAATATATGTAAAAAGCATGTTGAACACCAACACACACAAAATACATGTAAGATGGGGTGGAATGTTTCCATATGGAGAGAACATAAGAGCAGACAATAATTTGCCCATCACTGATGAATTGTATTCTGTCTGCCAAGGCAAGGCCAAGGTGCGTGTAGACTTGGGTGAGTGTTTGTATTTGTGTGTTAAGGAGAGGGTGGGAAGTGGAGAAGTTTGTCTGAAGGGAGTGAGAAGGGACAGGGAAAGTTTGAAATTGAATTTAGAGTCACTATTTTATTGCCCCTACTGAAGAAGCATTACATCTGAGCAACTGGACTTGCCACTTCCTTGTAGACCTAGGGAATGTATACAGGAAACACAATATCCAATTTCCAGAGAAACATCTGAGGAAAGTGGATAAATAGGAAGCTCTTAGAATGAAAATGTTGATATTCATTTTAACTAAATTCATAGTTGTGCAGACTCCTAGAGTCAGTTCTTCTGCTTGTCTCTGCTAATTCCAGCATCTGAGAAGAATCTTCTTTGAAGACACAATTCTGAGAACATTCTGTTAAGGGTTACAGTTATGTAACTATGAATTGGAAATTATTATGAAGTGGTATATAAGAATTGTCTAATTTAACAATCAATGTGACTGAGCACAGACCTAAGACTTCCTTTGGGATCAATAAAGGGTTCACCTTTTGAGCCCACTCCACAGATTTTTTTCTTAATTTTCCAACTTTTAGTATCAAAATATCTATTTTTATTAATAAAAATAAGTTTTTACAACTATAGTTATTTCAGGTTGCTTTAGAAGATATTCTTTAAAAATACATTTAAAAGACCCCTGGTAGAAAAAGAGCTTCTGCAGGTATGCATAGTTCCAAATCTTTACTTCTCCATGAGTCTTACTTTTCACAGATAACTAAATAAGAATGTTACTACTACTATTATTATTTTGCTGTCTATTTTTTTGCACTGTTGTTAACGACATATGTATATTTGGCAAAGCATTCAAACGTGGTAGGATATATAGTAAAATGAAAAAGTCTCTGTTTCCATAGAGTTATATTTTATAGTTCTACAGGAAAACTACAAACTTTGTTTTTTTAAAAATGTGAGTAAGACAGAGGATAGAAATTGATTTTTTCAGATCAATTCAATTTGTTAATAATAGAAGAGAATGGAGAGTAACCAAGTCTCTTTGACTGAAATATAAGAAAACCTCATCAGAAGCAACCCAAACCTTATCAGACCTCAGAGGAGTTGAAGAGGAATGGCAGACTGTTGATATCAATTACAATGTAGCAGAGCTATCTCAAAGGTAGTCTGTTTTTATGGAAATTCCTGCTTTGGATTGCTGAAATATACCTACAATTTAATTACAGGATTTTAAGCAATGGTTGACAAATGAAAAGTGAAAAAAGATTTCATATAGTAGCAGGTCTTCTCCCACCCCATTCTATTTAATTGTCTGCCACCTGCTTGAATATAGTATTAATGGGAATTAATATTGTTTCTATATGTTCTTAAAAAGCTATTTTATTTTTAATACAAATTTTTTTAAAATAAATTTTTCAATATTTAAAAAAAATATTTGGAGGTTATGGAAACAACAAGGTCTGTCACCATTAAGATAATCAGATCTTCTTGTTTACATAAACCCCAAATCCTAAAAACTCAGACTGGGGCATTCATATGTGGATAGATGACACAGATTGGGTCATTATAAATTCGTTATTTGAGTAGTTTAACTTTTAGCCTCTTACTAAGTGTGAACTTATGAAAAAAATGCATATTCTATGTAGAATAAGATTCGTATTTACAGGTATTCTGTTTAACATGATATACAGTGAAATTAAATAAATAATATCTGTGGGAAAAATTGAATTATAGTGTACGATTTACACAAAGGCAAATGTTATTTTAAGGTTATTTAAGGTTATTTTTTATGTTATTTTAAGGTTTTTGTTTATTTAATGCTCTTAGTGATTATTTTATATCAGCATAGTAAGCCTATTTTATTACTTCTCAAATATTTATATTCTTCCTTTGCATATTTGTCAGAATTCGCTGAAGTAGTCGCCTGCTTACAGATGTTTGTTTCTAGATTTTTGTTTTTTTTAAAAAAACTACATGAGAACCTTGCTATATTGACTGTTTATTCATTTTTTGCACAAAATAAGTATTACTAAAAATAAGTATATAAAAATAGCTACCACATAAAAGGATATGGGCACTTTAAATTTTCACTCATAGCAATTTTTGCCTGATCATCTAATTCATAGCATAAAATGTAAACATCAAAATATAACTGGCAAAAGGTAAACATGCTCCCAGATAATGAGGGGTAATATTTTATCATGTGTATTTCTTTCTCAGAGCTGGTATAACAAACTGCCACAAACTAGGTAGACTTTTCTTTCTCTTACAGTTCTGGAGGTACAAGGCCAAAGTAGATTTGTCAGCAGGATCACTCTCTCTCTGAAGGCTCTTGGGGAGGCTCTTTCTCTGCCTCTCTTCTGTTTGTGATGGTTGCTGTCAATCCTTAGCATTCCTTGCCTTGAAACACATCACTAACATCTGTCAGTCATCTCATGGTGTCTTCCCCGTGAACTTCTCCATATCATCCTCTTGTGTCCTCCTTCCTGTGTCCATAGATCCCTCTTCTCATAGGACACCAGTCATTAAATTACATCACCTAAACCCAGTATAATTTTATTTCAACTTTATTACATCTGCAAAGACTTTATTTCCAAACAAGGCCATATTCTGGGTTGATGTGATTTTTGAAGGGTACGTTACTCAAACCAGTAAAACACATGTCCATTCAGATATATTTATTATGTAAACACAATTCTCTAAGTGTTATTATTACAAAAGGGAAATAGCATGCTTATACACATTATAATATATTAGTTACTCTAATATTATTGATATCAACCCATGATAGTATCTATAGATTTACTTTTTAAAAACTGTTTCATGGGTTTTTTTTTAATCCTATATTATAGATATTTTGGTTAATCCCAATTATTTGTTTTTGAAAACAATGATGTAGCTGTGGAGCAGAACTTGAAAAATTATGGATTATGAGCTAAATTCAGTCCACCACCTATTTTTGTAAATAGCCAAACCTATTTGTTTATATATCATATGTGACTGCTTTTGCACTACAGTGATAGTGTTGCTTTATTGTGACTTTAATACCATTACCTGAAAATTCAAAAGTATTAAATATCTGAAATGTTACAGGAAAAATTTACTGACCATTGCCTTAAAGGAATACAGAAGCAGGAGGGAGAGGGAGATTCACTCATAATTTTCTTTTATCTGACTTAAAAAAATTAACCGTCAATTTAATTTATGGAGAACATATATTTTAAAATGCTGTGGATATTTCATTACGTCCTGTGAAGAGGGAAAGTGAAACATGCATGACATTAGCACTTTTGCTCTTGTGATGTGTATTCTTATAGCATATAGGTCTTTTGGGCCATGTGGTAAAGTCTCTTATTTTGATAAGCACCTCAACTCCCAGAAAAGTAGCAACAGCCCCCAAAAGCTAGAAGGCAGGACTCTAATTTTCATATTCAGTCTTGAACTTCACAATTACGAAGTTCATCTTCAAACAGAAATTCTTCAAAAAACTTAATTTGGCTTGCAGTTTTTCCAACTCTAATTCTATCATAGGTGCAACTTTTAATTTACGGGATTCTTCAAGTACGGTTCCAATTTGTTGTGTAGGCCCAATTATATGGTTTACTAACGTCTTTGGAGTTGTCATCCTCAGTCTGGCTTTCCAGCTAGTCTTCAGCACTGCTGCTTCGCAAATTCCTTTTAGTTGTTTACCTATCTTAACCATTTGTAGCTTTGAACTCAATCCCAGAGCCAGAGCCATGCTGGACTCTTAAAATATTTTGTCTCCAAATATTGCCTCAAAGGAAGAGGCATATGCACTTCCTTATCTAACTTCACTTTCACTTTATGACATGGGTCTTGGCTGCTGTCATCCTCCAGCACCCAGATCATGACTACTCTAGAAGTCCCACATGATCATAACGGAGGCAAAGCTGACAGAGGCCACACAGAACAGATGGAACAACAGTGTGGCCAAAGAACATCAGTAGCATTTGCCTCCCTCCTCCAAGGCCCCTTGGCTTTAGGGCAGTTACTACACTCAGCACCACCTTGCCCAGTTGGGATCATTTGTTTGGCAGCAACAGATAAGGTATGACCATCTGTCCATTAGCTTTCTATAATGATCTGGGTTCTGCCAGACCTGCTACATTATGAAGTTAGAAGCATGAATTTAAAAAAATCAGTAGCCTGTCATGGTAGCTGGGACTTGAGCCTGAGCAGGACCACAGAGTACAAGCAAATTACAGGAACAAGAAGTCCAGGTTGCCTTGTTAGCCACCAGAGTTGCACCAGTGGTGTTTCAGTACATGCACCTATACATGGGTTGGGGGACCTGGCATGAATAACTAAGGAATGGAGAAATGTATAGTACAGTTCATAGATTGTCCAACTTGATAAGTGGGTGCAAGCAGAAAGTGGATGGAGGCTGCATTGTAGCCATTGAGGCATAGTCCAAAGAGACAGGTGAAGAAGATAATATTTTAAATAAATGGAATTGTGAGCAGTGCAATAGCCATCTACTTTAAAAGAAAGGAGAAATAATCTATGGTGAGATACAAAATGCTGGGGCAATGTCTAGTGGCCTAGCAATCAGGTTGGGTTCATGGAAACAAAGGGAATGAAGGA